TTTTTTTTTTTTTTTTTTATGTCTGTGGACTAGACTGTCTAAGGCCACAAGAATTAGAAGTTACTATAATGCATGTCACACTGTTAACTTTTAGCAAACTTTACTTTTGTTGAAAACCTTGTAAGTTTGGGATTTTAATTATTCTTTGCTATTAATAAGACCTTATTTTGTCCAAATTAAAATTGGTATGATGGCTTTTAAAGGAACAGGGTACACTTTTGTTTTTTCTTAACTACTTGTATATCTCTCTCTTTCTTTTTTTCTTTCTCTCTTTGACTTTGTCTCTCTCTCTTTGACTTTCCTTTTGCCTCTGTCTCTTTCTCTCTCTCTGCCTCTTTTTCTCTCTGTCTCTTTCCTTTCTCCCTCTCTGCTGGTGTTTCCTTGCCTCTGCCAGCCGCTTATGCTGCTGTTCTCTCAACCACCGTGTGTTGGGGGCGGGGGATCTAAAACAAGCTGGTCTGTGTTCCCTCGCTTACAGGTTACCTTGTGCCATACCTTTGAAACAAGGGACGTGTCAAGGCTTCCTTCTAATGGCCAACCTACCTCTAATGCTGGCCAGTCTATCTTACACAAAGTTTTAAGTTTTCCTGGTGTCATAGTACTCCATAGTCTCCCCTAAATCCTGTTTTTGAAAATTTTCAACATAGTTCCTAGAGTGGTGGGCTTACTTTGTGCCTCACCCATGTTTCCTCTAGACAAAACACCACGCTCACACCACACGCACACCACAAGAGGAGGAACGGGTAAAAAGGGCACACACACACTTTTGTAGTTTACACCAAACCAAAATCAAAACCAAAATCAGAGTATCCAGAAATCCAAGCCAGGTCAAAACCAAAACCAAAGTATCAAGCAATCCAAGTCAAGTCTCATGTTGTACATGAGAAATATACATTTTTAATTTGTGAATTAAAAAAAATAAAACAGTAAAAAATCAATTAAAAATCAGTTAAAAAATGGTATCTGGAAACCCCTCCCCACCCCAAAATCTTGAATTTAAACATGGAATTCCCCAAGGTAGCTCCCACTGCATCAACCTACACAGCAACTGGATTTTCACAGGCTCTTTTCAATGTGTGAGTGAGAAGCTCACCTGTCCCCGGGTCATCTTCTGCAGCTCATTCTCCCAAGCCGCCTGGTCATCGTCCAAGTTATAGGAAGCTGGTGGAGTGAGTCCACGGAGGATCAGGGGGTCTCGGTCATGGCAGAGGGCTGTCAGGTGTCCAATGTACAACTTTAATTTACTTCTATTTTGGTCAAGTTCTAAGAGGGGCTGGATGATCTAAGGCAAAAAAAAAAAAAAAAAAAAATGAGGAAAGTCAAGGTCAGTCTGAAATGAGAGGTTCAAATATTCTTTATGCCTCCCAAGTCAAAGAAAATTGATCAAAGACTAAAGCTCTTCTAATCACTACTGAAATCTTCAGGATTACAGAAACATTTTCACATGCTGTCACACATTTACGCTGTCACACCCAGCCGCCCTTCTGGGAGACAGGAAGAGAATGCTGGCTTAATACATCCACACCCGACGGATAGCTCTGTACTGAGGCAGGGATTAAGCACAGGACTAACTCGTTTTTACAGAGAGGCTATTCCTGATACAGAAAGACTCCAGTTGCCTCACACTTTCTCTCTTCACTTATTTCTGAGTAGATTACAAAAAACTGCTAGTGAAAGCTGCTCATCTGAAAGCCTGGACTACATATACATCAAGTGTTCCTCCACCTCCTGGAATGGAAGAAAAATTCTGTCTCTGGAGAAAGTGCATGTTTTTCTTGGCCAAGAGATGTGATGAGGGAACTCATTACGAATTCTGCCTCATCCTGGCTTATGCTCCCCTCAATTCATTTCACAGAGGTTATCCGATACTCTTCTGAAACAGTGATTGATAAATCCTTATAGAACACCAAGCACCTGACTCACAGCCAAGGACTCTACAATTCTTGGTTGTAACATTGGTTCTGTGTTGTTTTTAAGTAACAGACTCGCTCTACGTTTTTTCTTTTCTCATTTCTCTCCCCTGCTTGAACAGCGACTCCTTTGATTCCTTCTGGAAGCACACTAAATGACGACGACTCCTGTCCCAGGATTTCATTTGACGGCTCTCGTGACAATAGTTTGGCCAGGTATTTGGTAGTTGGTCCAAGCCTGGAGTGTTCAGGAAGAGAGTGGGGCCAGATCTCACATCACAGAACACAAGTATTACAGCAGCACCTGCCTGACACACAGCAGCTGTGAGCACTGTGAGCACTGCCGAAATGCTGGCGGTTCTCACTGTGCTCCCAGGGCTCACACAGCAGAGGTGTCTGCACCTGCTGCATGTCACCAGCCTGGCAACTTTCATGAACAGGACACCTCTGGCCTAACTAATGAATTGGGAGCTCAATGATCAAGTCAACAGAAGCAGGGCCTGGTATTACTTTCCACAGTAACACTGATCCCTCCTCGGACCCCCTCAGAGGACTGCTCCTGCCACCTCCCTTCCTTTCTTTTTAAACAAGAGTTTTTTAAGCAAATAAAGTTTAATGTTTTTATTATAAAAACAATATACACTTTACTCCAAAAAACGTGGGGAAAAAAAGAAAAATATAAAGGAAATAAGACAACTGCATACATTTCCACCAAGAAGTAATCATGTGGCCGGGCACGGTAGCTCACGCCTGTAATCCCAGCACTTTGGGAGGCTGAGGAGGGCAGATCACAAGGTCAGGAGATCGAGACCATCCTGGTTAACACGGTGAAACCCTGTCTCTACTAAAAACATAAAAAATTAGCCGGGCGCAGTGGCGGGCGCCTGTAGTCCCAGCTACTTGGGAGGCTGAGGCAGCAGAACGGTGTGAACCCGGGAGGCGGAGCTTGCAGTGAGCCGAGATCATGCCACTGCACTCCAGCCTGGGTGACAGAGCGAGACTTCGTCTCAAAAAAAAGAAAAAAAAATAAAACAGAAGTAATCATTTGTAATATTTTAGTAATTTTCCTGCCAAGTCTTTTAATACATTTATATAAATCAGCTTCTAACAGTATCATACCTCACATTTTCCTTGATACATTATTTATCTATTTAACATTATATTGTGAGTACTGTTCACTACATTATATATGTATATATAAAAACCTACATGTGTATATATATATATAAACCTATTTTCAGTGAAAATAGGTTTCTAATGGCTGCATAATAAATACAGCACATTTCCTTTGTTTCTAATACTATTTCCAGGAAATAATTAAAAGAGAATAAAGAGCAAGGACTTAGTGGCTGAAACAATCTTTAGCTTACTAAAAAGATCAGAGTTCAGTTTAGGCCTACACAGTATATAACACAGAAGCTGGAGCCTGGCTAGACTAAACAGAGAAAATTAATCAATTTAGCATCACTTTTGTTTTTAAAGTTCTCTCTCTCACTCTAAGGATAAACAATAAACACCAAAGTGCTGCTGTGGAAGGCTCCCAGGCTCCATGAGACTCCCCATCAGCAGGTTTACGGTGCCAGTTCTGTGCTGGAATTTCCCACCTAGAAGGCCTGACAACACAGCCAGTCACAGAAGGAAGACGGTGTTTCAATCAAGTAGAGAATTTAGAGTGGGGGAGTTGGACAGTTTTTTGCAAACAATACCAACCTTTCAAAAATATTGTATTTTATTTCTGGGCATACACGTATATTTGTGGTTGGGCGTGGTGCAGCATGCCTGGAAACCCAGCACTTTGGGAGGCCAAGGCGGGCAGATGACTTGAGGTCAGGAGTTCGACAGCAGTCTGGCCAACATGGTGAAACCTTGTCTCTACTAAAAATACAAAAATTAGCTGGGCGTGGTGGCATGCGCCTGTAATCCCAGCTATTTGGGAGGCTGAGGCTGGAGAACAGCTTGAACCTGGGAGGCGGAGGCTGCAGTGAGCAGAGATCGCACCAATGCACTCCAGCCTGGGCGACAGAGTGAGACTCTGTCTCCAAAAAAAAAAAAAAAAAAAAAAAAAAACGGGTACTTATTGTGGAAAGTTTAAAAAGAATTCCAAGTGCAATCTTTGAAGGTAAAATTACTTTAAATGCAAATACACTTTGTGCACCAATGATGAAACTGTCTGATCATGGTTCTATTACTACATCCCCCATGATGCCAAGTAACGTGTCCCTATTTAATTCCCCATTTTTTAAAAGCTTGGTTTTCTCTATCTTCTTTCACAGATACATTGATTTAAAAAAATCACTTTTGGGATTTTCATTGGGTTTATGCAATTTATTCCCATTCTCTTAGTGCACACGCGCATGTTTGTGTGCACACAGCTACCATTACAAATGCCACATCTGGGCTGCAAAGGCTGAAAGAGCTGATTATCTTAGGTAATTACTTTTGATTGACAAACTGGTAGAAAAAAGTATGACCATGAAGAAAGGGGACAATGTGATAAATGGTCATATGGAGAAAGTCAAATTCCTTATAGTAAAACAGAATTTAAAAAGATATTATTAGCTCACTCCTGCTACTACTGTGACTGTGGATGATGACATTTTAGGTCCTTATTCTTAATAAAAAATAAATTTCAGCTGGGCACAGTGGCTCACGCCTGTAATCCCAGCACTCTGGGAGGCCAAAGTGGGTAGATCACTTGACGTCAGCAGTTTGAGACCAGCCTGGCCAATATGGTGAAACTCCATCTTTACTAAAAAAATTAAAAAAATCAGCCAGGCATGGGTGGGCGCATGCCCTGCAATTCCAGCTACTTCAGGAGGCTGGGCAGGAGAGTTGCTGAACCTGAAAAGGAGGTTGCAGTGAGCCGAGATCGGTGCCCATTATACCTCGCAGCCGGGCATGTGTAGCGAGACTCTGTCTCAAAAGAAAAAAAAAATTTCAAATTGATGTTAATGCATTTTATACTGAAGGCTAATTGATTTAAATAAACATGATGGGCATTTGGTAT